ATCTGTGACTTTGCTCACGAATATAAATTCTAGATTCTTATATCCCATTGCAATTGCTGAAGATGCCTTAAAATATCATTTGTGCTCATCACCACTTCAAAATTACACCAGTTATTAGACTTTCCACTAGATCTTGTTATTTAATATAGTAATAAAGAAGCACAGTTATTACTGTGCTACACTTTAAAAAATATTTTGATAACCAATTATATTGAAATCTAAGTTTCTTTGTAATCCTATGTATTTTATATTACACATTTGATAACATTATTCTGGCCTTCCTGGACTGCCATAGGGAGCCATGGAACAAAATTATTAAGAATCCCTGAACTGATTAAATAACTGAAACTGATAAAAATTGCAATTTTGTCAATTGCCACAGAAAGGAAGCATGCAATTCAATGAGCAATAGTGAGGGACGCAAGGGAAGGTGGCCTGGGGTTATGGGAGAGGTGTGAATTTTAACTAACAAAGGAGCATGAAAGAACATTCCAGAAAAAGGAACCAACATGTGCGAATATGCCTTGAACAGGGCAATGCTATAGGAAGCCAGGAATGCTGAGACAGGGCTGAAAGTCAAGGGATCCTGGGAGAGGGGTGACGAGGGTCATGAAATGAGGCTGGAGTGGTGGACAGAGATCTGGCAATGTAGAAGCAGAGAGCAGGTGCATAAGGCATGGAAAAAGAAAATGAGGCAGTGCATTCAGAGACTGCACATGGTCAAGTTTGGCTAAAGGCCAGATGCTGTGCCAGAAAGAGAAAGGTGAGGTTGCCCAGGTTGCAGGGCTCAGAGAACGGCAAATATTGAGGGCTGTGATAACAAGTTAGACTTTATTTTGAGGGTACTAGGAGCCATTGAACAACGGATTGACCTGCCCTTAGAGACCCCACACTTGGTGAGCTGGTGTATCAATCAGACACACACACACACACACACCCCCTACAGATACTGAATCAGTGACATCGTTCCTAGGGGAAATACATAGGTTCCTATAAGCCTCTGGTCACATTTTTGCCAACTGTTGAATACATGATCTTGTATGATGTGTGTTTCTGTTCAAAGACACCTTCTTTACTACATATTCCTAATTCATTGACACTGAATTTACAACCAACAGCACTATCACTCATACCTGAACAAACTTACCTGATATACCAATTTCCCCTGCAAGGCACATCATAGCCTTCTTGTGCTTATAGCATTAGACAGTACTTTTTAGCACTACTCTTAGGGTCCATTTTAAACAGCAAAATCACAAACAAAAAGCATAAAAATGTGAAGAACATGGCACTGAACAGACCACAAAAAGGACTCCTGTTAAGAGTGTAAGAACTGAAACAAGAAGGCAGAGGAGTGCTTTCTTTCAATCTCAGCCTGGAACATGTGAGTCAAGTGACTCAAATCTTTTGCCTCTCTGAGCTTGTTTGCAAATGACTGTGAAAGCTCTGCGAGTATTGATTTCAGGGTGACAAATAACTTTTAGTGAGTAGAATTAGCAAATATGGAATCCATGAATAATGAGGATTGACCATATAGCATTGCAAAGGCTCAAAGCCCAAAATCCATAAGGCAGCAGGTTGAACACTCCCAGGCAGGAGCTCATGCTACAGTGATGGACAGAATTTCTCTTTCCCTGGGGAAACCTCAGTTTTGTTCTTAGGAACTTTCCACTGCTTGGAGGAGGCCCATCCACATTATGAAAGATAAACTCTTCTACTTAAAGTCAACTGATTTGAGATGTTGAAGACATTACAAAATACCTCCACAGCAACACTAGACTAGTGTTTGATTGAATAACTGAGTACTGTAGCCTAGCCAAGTTGACACATAAAACTAACCATCAATTATGGCGTTGAAAGGAAGGAGAAACGTAGGAAGTAAACCCTATAAACTGTTCAGGTGGAAAACACTGCTAGTTGGATCTTGCTTTTAAGACATTTTGGAATCTTTTTGTTTTCCTCTTAGCATTTTAAAGTGCTCTACACATCCAACCCTTGGTCCTTGCTCTCCACAGCCGTCTGTCCCTCCATCCAGTCCTGTCCCTCTAAGGCAGAAGAAGACACTACATTTTGAGAAAATGTCCTACTACACTTGTAGCATATTTCCCCTTGCCATCTCAAGCAGTTCCTTCAGTATCATTCCATTTTCCTTAAGATGTGTACTACGACATCACTGGGGAATACTTTAATTGCAAGTAAGAAAATATCTGACTTAGAGTAGCTTAAATGATAGTTGTTTATGTTATGTTTTAAATCATCATCCTTAAAAAATACTCTGCAGGCCAGGCGCGGTGGCTCACGCCTGTAATCCCAGCACTTTGGGAGGCCAAGGCGGGTGGATCACGAGGTCAAGAGATCGAGACCATCCTGGTCAACAGGGTGAAACCCCGTCTCTACTAAAAATACAAAAAATTAGCTGGACATGGTGGCGCGTGCCTGTAATCCCAGCTACTCAGGAGGCTGAGGCAGGAGAATTGCCTGAACCCAGGAGGCGAAGGTTGCGGTGAGCCAAGATCGCGCCATTTCACTCCAGCCTGGGTAACAAGAGCGAAACTCCATCTCAAAAAAAAAAAAAAAAAATACTCTGCAGATACGTGGTTGTTGGGTTGGTTTACAGAAGGGTTCAGCAAACTATGGCCAGTGGACCAAATCTACACTGCAGCCTCGGTCTCTCTTTTTGTTTTCTACAGCCCCCAAATTAAGCAGCAGCAGCAATAGAGACCATGGGTCTCCACAAAGCCTAAAGTACTTACTACCTGGCTGCTTACAACACAAGCCTGTTGGCCTCTAGTTTGGAGACTCAACCCTGTCCTCCAGGACTCAGCCTCCATCTTGCTGCTCTCCTGGGGCTACTGGCATCGTTTTCCCTCATGGATGCCCCAGCTCCAAGAATCCCTTCTACATACACCTGTCACAAGAGGAAGTGGAACTTCTGCACTCATCTCCCTGATGGATGATCTTTCCCAGAAGGCCCCAGCTGGCATTCCTACCTTCCATCAGATGAAGTGCAGTCACATGGGCCAGCTGCAGAGGAGGCTGGAAAGGGGTATGGCTTGTGTCTTCAGACTCTTCCCTGCGGGGGAGCCTCTTCTCATCATGGGCTGGGATTGGCTGCTGGGCCAACTAGTTTCAGAATTAATTCATCAAGAATGCTCCACCTCCCCAGGGCTACTTATAACAGTATCAACCTTGTAAGGCGTAAGGACAGGGATCCCTTGTGGTTTGGAGGCTGGTTGGTGCTATAGCACTAACCTCTCTTTTGGGGATTCAGAAGAAAGAACTTTTATCAAATGACTGACTTGGCTTCAAATCTAAGCTCTTAAGATTATTTTATGTCTTGATCTGCATAGTGGTTACCCAGGCATAAACATATGTAAAAATTCATTATACTATATGCCTAAAGTTCTGTTCAGTTTACTGTATGTTGGTGATATCTTAATAAAAGAGGAAAAGATAAAATTGCCAAAGGGAAAGGCCTTTAAACCCTCTTTTAGATATCTAAATATACAGAAAGATTAACATACACATATATATATCCACACAGACAGACACATGTATCTTACATCCACATATGTACATATCTTACAACCTACATCCTATATATATGTGCGTGTACACACACAGAGCAATGATAACTAGCATATGTTGAGTTCTATTAGGTCACCTGATATATTGTGGGGTGTCAAAGCAAGAACACTGGGGACTTTCTTAAGCAATCATGTTACACAAGAGCTCTTGCTTTCATCTCGTATCCACCTCTTGCCAGCACGCTTCCTGTATCTCCTGCATTTGCTTGGTCCTAGATAAGACATAGTTACTCCCACCACAGGAGATATGGGACCAGAGAAAAGGAAACGCCCATTTCTTTGTGACATCTTCTTTTAATAATCAGTAGAGCTAAATAATTTAAAATCCCTACAATGGTGACTTTTTTTTTCCTTGCTTTTCTTCTCAGAACACAAGGGGCTAATTAAAAGTGGGAAAGTTCTTGTTTGATCAGAAATTCTTGTGTTTTGGAAAAAGAGAAACTCTAATATTCAGAAAGAGCTTTAATTGGCTTTAGAGTCACTAAATTCCTTTCCTTATTTAGGACAGTACGAATGAGCTTTTCTCTCTGGATCACAGCGGAAAGGTATGGTAATCGGACCAGAGGAACCAGGGCTCCCAGCCAGGGGAACCAGGTTTTCAGCTGAAAGATGGTCTTTTGATTTGAATCTACGGCATTATCTTTTAACCTAACTGTGTGATTCCTCTTTGAGAACCTCTCATAAGTTCTGGTCTTTTGGCTGACTTCTCTCCATAAATGACTCTATTACTAAAGCCGTAAGCTTGTTTATTGAGGAAGCTGTGTGTGGTGGTCCCTAATGGAGCATGTCAGCATAAAAGCCCCATTATACTGAGGCAGGCCTAGGTCCATACATTTCATGAAGCACTCTTTCCTGGATTTATTAGTATTAGTGCAGGAAAAGTGAGTGCTCTATGTAGCACAGCCTTTTGAAACCAATGTGCTCCTACCTAGAAAAGGCTGGAAAAAGAATTCCCTGGGCTCATAGGTGCTCCTACCAAGAGGAACCATGAACTTCATCAAAAGTTGAACGGTGCTGGAAGTCAGTACAAATTAGCAAAAGAACATCTCTGTGGAAAATTTACAAATGTTCTTTCCATGGCAGTGACCCTAAAGGCTGATATGTCTATTGGTTAGCAGACTGTTTTTGGTTCTTATCTGTAGATAAGTGGTATGATGAAGATGATTCAGTCAGAAGAAAGTTATAACCAAGTCAATTTAGTATCAAAAATACTTTTTGTTTTATAAAGTGCCTATCTATTGACTCTTGTCGATTCTTGCTTAATAATTAAAATAGGGGCCCATTTATCCACTAACTGGGTCACGCTTGTGTGAAGGTGTTTATTGATCTGGCATGAAGGTGTTTATTGATCTGTCATTGCAAAGAGCATACTCTTGGTGTCTTCCCTGCACATCTTTCAAACGGTGGCTGATATTGTCACCTAACAGTGAGACCGGTGGGAAATGTCAGCAACGGTGACTTTGGGGGATAGTTTCTCCCAGTAAGGAAGGCAAATTCTACAAAAAGAATGAAGCACAGCAGACAAAGTGAAGCGCTGGTTTTTACAAGGTATTTGCACTGACCCTATTTATGTCTTTGGAATGTCTGTTTGATCACCTGCTGAATCTTTGGAACTATCTATGAATAACAGATGAGGGATTTGGGCTGTTTTAGGTTTGTGATGTCTTGTCCTCTCTTAAAAAGAGCTTTGGTGCCTTTACTTATTACCCATCGACACACTACACACTTCCCCATCTTACCTAAAAAGTATCAGTATTTTTGCCATGTTGTTGCCCAACGCAAAGATTAAAAAGTGGCACCTTAATAGCTAAGATTTCTGGGTTAAGTATGAGAAGTACTAGGCTATAACTGCTGGTGGACAGTTAGCTAAATAATTCAGAAAGATGTTATGGCTCAGTAAAATGAATGACTGCAACTCCTGTGTCTATATCCTTCTGTTGATCATGAGGAGTGTACAAATAAGGACTCTATTTGGTTTTATGTGATAAATATCTGCTGGATGTGGCTTAGGGATTTATTTTAAAGCTAGTCAGTGTTTTCGGGCATGCAAAGAGAAGTAAAGCAAATGAGTCTGAGAAAAGATCTGAAACCAGGGACTAAAGTGCCAATGAGATTTTTGTTCCAGCTCTAATTTCTACCTCTCTCAGGGCATGTGCAGTAAAATGACCTACGCAAATTGGGCTTTACACGACTACCGGTTTCTTTTTGGCCCATATCATTGACTCCCAACAGTTTAGAGAAAGGGGTCAATTATTTGTCTGCTTCAACAATTCACAGCCAGGTTTCAGAGAAAACAAGTTCTCAGGCCAAGTTTTGATACTTAGTAACAAGCCAGCACAAAACAGAAATAGCCCCTTTTTTAAGTTTAAGGAAGACCTACCTCTCTCCTTTTAGTTACCTCAACAACATTTTTCATGAAGAGTCTTCTAGAAGCAAAGGGAATGATAGTCTAGCACAGGGGGTGGCACCCTTTTTCTGTAAAGAGGCAAATAGTAAATGTTTTAGGCTTTGCAGACCATGCAATCTCTGTTACAACTACTCAACTCCATCTTAACCTCAACACAGCCATTGACAATACATACATGGATTAGCATTGGTCTGTTTCAGTAAATTTTTTGGACAGAAATTAAAATTTTACATAATGTTCACGTGTCAAAAAATACAAATCTTTTGGTTTTTTAAACTATTTCAGATATTTCAAAAATTCTTAGCTTTTGAACTGTGCAAAAAAGATGCTGGTGGGCTAGAATTGGCCCAGGGGCCATAGTTTGCTGACCCCTTCTCTAGCAGCATATTTCTAATGACAGTGAGGTGACCGAGAATCTGCCAAAGCAGCATGTAGTCCCAAAACCTCTCACAAGTCACGCTTGGAACAATTTCGTGACAAGATGATTCTGCTATTATTTTTGCACAAGGTTCTAAAAAGGACTGTTGCATTATACCTTCTGCACACCACCATGAATGTACCAGAACATTCTTTGATAATACGATGGCTTCCTAACATGCTGGAAGCTCCCTCTACTTCCAGCCATTGTCCAGATCTCTTTTGATTGTCAGCCAGTATCCATTTTTTCCCACAGGTTATATAATCTCCTCCAAAAATGTGTCTCTTGCTATTTTGAGTCTTAAACAATAAGCATTGCTTCAGCCATCTCAGTGTTTGATCTCGTATCCATTGCTGTGGTACCCATCGTCTAATGTCTTACCTTCTCTATTGTACTCAGGTTCTGAGAGACTTCCTTGGCAGAGATTCTTACGTTTGCTGAGTGTTAGCTTTTACCAGGGCTTCTAATTGATTATTTAAAATGGGGATGAGACTCCATCTAGGTCCACTTTCGTGGTTTGGATACACAGATCAAAACCTCTCAACCAACACAGAACAGTCCTTTAGCTAAAAAGCTCTTCCCCAGATGTTTCTACGTGCCTTAGGTTTCCATCTCCCTGATGACATTCATATCAAAAGGATTCACAATTTCTGTGATGAAACACACAGAAATTATTTGTTTCTGTGAGAAAAAGAAATAATAATGGAAACAAATCAATTCTCAGAAAACTGAAAAGGACAATAACTTTACAAATTCCAAATAGCACAGCTAGAAATAGAATTTGTGCCAATTTTATGAATCATAATTTTTAACTGGTCAAATATTGGTGATTTCAACTGGTTCAAAGAAATTTGAAGTAAATTAGACATAACTTAACAGTCTCTGATTTTTTGTTTCCTTACTGCAAGTTTGCCTTCTTCAGTTTCCCAAGTTTTAAATCATACAATAGGGTTGCTGATGATCCCCAAGTTTTTACATTGTGAAGAGAGTGAGAGAGAGAGAAAGAAACAGTGATAATAAAAGATGGAGACAGAGAGTGACAGAGAGTGACAGGGAAAAGCATAAACAGTGAAATTGACTATCTCCTTGGCCTAGACCTAGTTCCTGTAGAAGAGACTCTGACCAACTCTCACCCCTTGACAAATCAATGTGGATGGAGTAGGGATGGAGTCAAAGTCATCACATAAAGAAATTTCCAAGAGTTTACTCTTGTGGATCAGAGCAAGGTTGTAACTGGGACAGCTACTATTGAAAGCACAACAGAGATGGCACAATAATTATCCTTCACAGATGTGTCTTAGAGCTGCTATGCCATGGCTGTATTATAGTTCCATATGAGCCCTGAGATAAAGGAGTAATATTCAAAACATTTAACATCAGGCATCATTCAGTCAGAACCAGCCCAGGTTATACACAGGTGGCTGAGCCATACCAGTGAATACCCTAGTAAGATCGTATGGGCTCCTTGAATAAATATGAATACCATTACCCCTTCTAGAATGAGTTCTTTCATGGACCTGGGCAATGAGAGAGGATTGGAATACAGAGGTCTCTCTAATAATGGGTAAAAAGACAGGTAGCCAGAACTTTGCAATTTGTTGCTCTGATCTTTTGGTATGTGTTGCCTGGTGACTTCTGAACCTTCTGTGTTCATCAGGGGTTTTTGCCAAACTCTGGAAAAGAAAACGCATAAACAATCCCACAGTCAGAATATTGTCTTATGCATTTGCTTTAAGAAGAAGTTTCCAACAATACCTTAGAGCTAAAAGCAAAGGTTCTCTGGACAGAAATTTCAGCGTTGCTGCATGAATAACATTACTTGGTCTATTCTCTCCACAGCCTGAGGAAGGCGAGGAAGTCTGTCTGCAATGTCTGCTGCATCCATCTTATAGTGACCACTCCTGGAAATGGTATCACTGCTTCAGCCCCCTTGTCCCTGCTTACAGAACAAGGACACCTTGCCACAACAGGTCAAGCACGTAAGATAGGCTAAAGCCATTTTCCTGGATGAATCCTGGAATCTTTTCTCTCAAAATTTCTTGAGCTTTTGGGTCTTTTCTAGGCACCAGTTAACTCAATGATTTTTTTACTGGTGGGAAAGTGGAGCAAAAGTTCTGGTAAGGGAAGGGACAGTGTTCAACTTTGCCTCTCACAGGGAAGAAGGGTGGAATAGGATGTCAGCTTCCTGGATCATAAAAAAAGGTTGGGAACTACTGAATTAGCTGATTAACAGACAAATGTGTGCTATCATATTAAAGCACAATGAGGTGTTCTACTTTCATGACTTCCTCTAGGTCTGCAATAGATATTTATTGAACCAAATTGCATACAAGAAACTGATTTGAAGCAGAGAAGACAGGGGCAAGGGAGGCATTGGGGACGGGAGCAACACACATGGGCTGCTTTCAAATATTCAAAGGGCATCAGACTGCAAAGAAGTTAGACCTTCCAAACAAAGTAAAGTACTCGATGGCTTCCCATTGTCTAAAGAATACAATCCAAAACTACTTTATCAGACCTATGAAATTCTACGTATGGGATTCTTGAAATTGGCTGAATATTAGAATCACTCCAGGAGTGATTATATCCAGGGACCTGGAACCACCGCATGCCAATCCTTGGAATGGGGTCCTGGGCATCTGAATTTTGTTACGAAGGGCAGATTGGGAGCCTCTGCAGCCACTTTATCTCACTCCAGCTTACTTCTCCAGGCTCATTTCCTAGTACTTCCCTCTTTGTTAGAAGTTCTTCCTCCTTTGGCCTCCTTTCTGTTCCTGGGACATTCCAGGCACCTCCCAGCTCCAGGGCTTTTGCTCTTCCAGGTTCCTGTGCTTGGAAGAGTCTTCTTTCTTATTAAAGCTGCCACGTCAGATCAGAGTTATCTCTAAGTAAGGAGATGCCTGATCTTCTGGATTAGTTTCCTAGGCCTGCTGCAACAAAGTACCACAAACTGAATGGCTTAAGACAACAGAAATTTCTTGTCTTCCTGTTCTGGGGTCTAGAAGTCCACAATCAAGGTACTGGCAGAACCATGCTCCCTCTGAAGACTCTAGAAGAGCTTCTGCTTCACGCCTTTCCCTTAGCTTCTGGTGTTCCCAGCAATCCTAGGCCTCGCTTGGCTTGGAGATACTCACTCCAATCTCTGCCTCCGTCACCACATGGTATTCCCTCTGTGTCTTTTTGTATTGTCTTCCCTCTGTGCATAGTCTCTTCTCTCTCTATGTATATATATTTTTATTTATTTATTTATTTATTTATTTATTTATTTATTTTGAAACAGGATCTTGCTTTGTCGCCCAGGCTGGAGTGCAGTGGTGCAATCTGGGCTCACTACAACCTCCACCTTCTAAGCTCAAGCTCAGGTGATCCTCTCGCCTCAGCCTCCCAAGTAGCTGGGACCACAGGCACATGCCAACACATCTGGCAATTTTTTTTCTTTTTCAAGACAGAGTCTCACTCTGTCGCTCGGGCTGGAGTGCAGTGGCACAATCTTGGCTCACTGCAACCTCTGCCTCCCGGGTTCAAGTGATTCTCTTGCCTCAGCCTCCCGAGGATAACAGGCATCTGCCACCACACTCAGCTAATTTTTTTTTTTTTTTTGTATTTTCAGTAGAGACAGGGTTTCGCCATATTGGCGAAGCTGATCTCAAACTCCTGACCTCAGGTAATATGCTTGCCTCAGCCTCCCATTGTTATTATTATTATTATTAATTACTTTGAGATGGAGTCTTGCTCTGTGGCCAGGCTGGAATGCAGTGGTGCCATCCTGGCTCACTGCAGCCCCCGATTCCCAGGTTCAATTGATTCTCCTGCCTCAGCCTTCAGAGTAGCTGAGATTATAAGCATGCACCACCATGCCCAGCTAATTTTTGTATTTTTAGTAGAGATGGGGTTTTGCCATGTTGGCCAGAATTATTTCAATCTCCTGACCTTGTGATCCACCTGCCCTGGCCTCCCAAAGTGCTGGGATTACAGGCGTGAAACACCATGCCCGACCAGTCTCCCATTACCTTTTATAGAGACAGGATTTCACCATGTTGGCCAGGCTGGTCTCAAACTTCTGATCTCAAGTGATTGGCCCACCTAGGCCTCAAAAGTGTTGGAATTACAGGCATGAGCCATCACACGCAGCCTGTTTCTTCTTGTAAGGACACTGGTCATATTTGATAGGATCTGCCCTAATAATACCATTTTATCTTCATTACATCTACAATGGCATTCTTTCCAAATAAGCCTACATTCACAGGTACTGGGGTTAGGCTTCAACATATTTTTTTTGTTGGGGGGAGGCATAATTTTACCCATAACACCCTACGTCTAAAGTAGCCCCACCCCACTCTTTCTGATCATGATCATTTTACCTTATCTGAAGCAATATTGCTTATTTATGAGTTTAGTCATGTGCTGGCTGTCTTCCTCATTGAGTATAAGCCCCAGGGGAGCAAGAACTTTGATTGTCTGGAATTCCACTATGTCAACAATGCCCAAAATGACGCATAATTAACACTTGTTTGAACGAATGAAACAAGCTACGATCAAACAATGAAAAGGGTGGCAGATTTTAGTTTACCATGAGGACAACTTTTATATAATTAGAGCCCACTCAACATGAAATAAGTTGCTTTTTTTTTTTTTTTGAGGCAGTAAGTCCCCCGTTATGGCAGGAGTTGATACCAAAGTTGAGCAACATTTTAGAAGAGGTAATAAAGAGTGGATTTGCATATCAGTTCGCAAATGGATTTATGACTTCTAAGGGTCCTTTAAAGCCAGAAATTCTATAATTCTATATCTGAGCAAAGGCTTTTAAGAAATACTGTGTCTCAAAAGAATGACTCTAATGGTGAAAACGTCAGGCAGGCGTAAGCTTCCCGTTACAGGTTTCTGACAGGTGAAATCGTGTGACAGCCCTCAAATCACATTACATTTGTAACCTCCTTTATGTCTCATGAGTCTATTCTTAAGCTTAGCTTGAATTTCTTTTTATTTTATTTATTTATTATTATGTTTTTGTTGGCTCATTCTATCCAAAGTGGAGAAAAAGGAAAAATAAATAAATTTCAGTTTGGGATCCCTTTAATATCTTAACTAAGCCTGTTACAATGAGATATTGTATTAAGTTGGTCCTGTCTTAAGGAAGGAACACCTTCTCTGTTGAAAGCTCTTGCTGCCAGGGGACTCATTGTTACCAGAGCAGTCAACTTTGATTTGTGTATCAATAATGTCGTGTCAGTAGCCAGAGGGTATGGCAACAGGGCGTTCCAGATGCTTTTATTGGTGCTTTTGCTGGAGGATTATTTCAAATTAACTTCAGTCTCTTGGAAGACACTGAGCAGTAGTATGCTATTTCCCATTTGTAAACAAAATGGTGAATAATTATGGGAGAAACCAAGACAGGATGATTTCTAGGAAATGTCACATCTGCAGATCTTAATTTCCTCCAAGCACTGTTGCCCTGTTCTTCTTTTCCTGTTGCTAGTATCCTCTCAGGAACAATACTGAATAGAACCTGCTTACAGGGCAATTGGTAGCTTCACAGCCACTCAACAAAATAACTGGAGACTCTTCTGCTGTCACTGTAACCACAAGAAGAGATTGGAAGTCTGCAGAAACTGCTGAAGGCTAAATAGAAAGGGACTTTTAAATGGTATTATAAAATTTTAAAAAATGTTTTGTATGTGACGGTAAAAGTCATAGTTATTGTATAAATTCCAGAAAATACTACAAAGGAAAGGGATAAAAATCAAAATTATCTGTTATTCTATCACTCAAGATAAACCACTGCTTATCATTTTGGTATATCTAGTTTGAATTCCATGTGTGTGTGTGTGTCTGTGTGTGTGTGTGTGTGTGTGTGTATTTTATAGAAAAGATATCATATATTGTTACTTAATGATATGCAACAGAGATTGGAAAGCCTTTTTTGTAAAGTACTAGATACAGCAGATTTTCAGCTTTGCTGGCCATAAGGTCTCTGTTGCCACCCCTCAACTCTGCAGCTATAGAACAAAACCAGCCAAAGACAATAAGAAATGAATGGGTGTAGCTGTGTTCCAATAAAACTATTTACAAAACTAAGTGATGGGCAGGGTTTGTTCCATAGCCCTAGTTTACTGTCTCCTGATATAGGATGTTATTTTTTTGCATGTCATTAATATTTTCCAACACCGTTTTTAAAGATACTGTAGTATGCCATTGTACTGATGTACCATAATTTTTTAGCTACTTCATTACTGTTGAACTTTAAAGCTATTTCAGTTTTCATTATTATAAAAAACACAATAATGAATACCTTTGTGGCTATATTTTTCAACTTATTGATTATTTTTAGTATAAGTTAATTAAAATATCATTGACAATGCTAAGGTATGTATGAAGCTCCCATCAATCTCAATTTTTATTAATGTTACGTGGTTGTAGCATATTTGGCAATTGCCCTTCACATTTGGGCAATTCTTTCTTGGTTTTCTAGTGTTGACAATAAATGTCACTTGGGGTATTATTAGGGACCCTTATGTTAGTCTTAGTAATTATTGTCATAGAAGGACAGCTATAACTGACACAGTGTTTCATTTTTTGGGGGGTGGTAATGAGTACTTTGAGAATCTGAGGAAAACAAAGACTAATCTCTGAAAGAAAATGCACATACCACAAAATGCTAAATAAAATTTCAGGGAGTTCAAAGAGTTCTAAGGCAGTTTTCTTAAGTAAATACTTAGAAGTGGAGTTGCTAGATCACATGCTAAGTATATATTTAACTTATAAGAAATTATCAAAAAGTTCTTCAAAGTCATTGTGTCATTTTAAGCTCCTAGCATTAAAGTTTGAAGCTCAAGTTATTCCACATTCTCATCAGCCCTTGGTGCTGTCAGTCACTTTCATTGTAGCCATTCTAGTAGTGATGCAGTGGTATATAATTCTGTTTTTTAAATTTGCATTTAAGTCTATGATCCGTTGTAAGCTAATTTCGTCTATGGTGTGAGGTAGGGGTCCAAATTTATCATCTATTCCACATGACTATCAAGTTGTTTCAGCACACATTGTTAAAAAGACTGTTGTTTTCCGCACTGAATTATCTTGGCATTTTTGTCAAAAATGAATTGGCCTTATATGAGTGGGTCT